TGAGCTTAAACCAGATCTTAATTTTGCTACCTATGTGTGTGATTTTTATGATCATAATTAATATAGTATATTAGTCATACAGTGTGATAACTCATATATTTCGATGTATCGGTGGAGAGGTGATAATTATTGCGAAACTTCGAAATGTTAAGTGTTTTATCCTATAATCTCCAACATGGTTGCATTTCAACGATGAAAGGTGTGAGTTGTGATGTTGGGTAAGGTTTAGTCTCTTGTGAAGGAAAATGTTCAACATATCATTACATATAAAAAATGTAAACTGCAATTTACGTGAGTATGTGTGTATTTATGTTAGGCTATTGATTCTGTTATACTAGACGAATTTTATGAGATGGACAATCTATGCATGTGTGAAATGTAGTGTTTATCAATCTACATGGTATTCCTACCCCATTTTATACTTTTGGACATTTTACACGTCTGTTATCAGCTGAACATGTTTAATTATTTCAAAGACTTGTGTTATGTAATTAATACTCTAGGGTTGTTTGTTTATATTTATATATATGCTATAAAATTATTCGTCTTTAATGCTTCTTCGACAACCAAAAGATTATTTTGGGAATCATCGAGTGCAATTATTGTACATTCTACATTATATAGAATATTGTAAGTTTTTTAAATGTGATTTAAGTTTGTTAATAAGTTAGTTTAATTTTGATTTTTGTATTTTGTTATAAACTAGTAACAAAATAAATCATTACTATCAATGAAGGCTTATTCCTTATTAGATGGTTTCCATTTTTTATATCATCAAGTATAAATATTCGGATAAAACAAAAACCATCCTAAATCCTGTTAATGGAAATAACGCACAAAAATACACATGTTCTAACCGTTAATGGTAAATTTTATCTTAATTCATAACTTGCGGACATGAAATTCGTAAAGAAGTATGGCAGAGTAAGGTCTTTTGTCAGAGACATAATAGATGTTATTTTTTATAGTTCGAGAGTATAAACAATTTATCGAGCACAGGATGTTACAATCATATAAGAGTAATTACATACAATATAAACAGGCAGGCATGTAACATTTACAAATATGACATATTATATTAGACAGAAAAATTCATATAATGAAACGGAGTAATATCGATTTCTTCTGTTATTTACTGAACAGACCATCCTTTACTGTTAAATAAGTATTATATGTAGCCATACTTCAAATACAGGGAGACACACATTATATTAATTTCAAATTTTCTTATTGAAATTCACAAAGCTGTAGAAAACAGAGAAATTACTCAAACCTCTATAGATTAGATTACAGCTCTGTGATCTGACCAAGATTCTTGCTAGAGCGATTATCCTCGTATCTTGTTTACCCAATGGATTCATAGAATTTCCTTAACATGATATTTAGAGCATTACTAAAGATTGCCTCACATCACAGCGATCACCAGCTTCATGAGAACGCAACTCAACTCATGACCACCATCAGTATTCGTAACCATGTGCAAATGGTGATCGTTATGGTGTGAGGGCACCTTAACAAAGAAATACAGTCAAGTAACCTAATTTCGTGGAAACCTATTATTCGTGGATTACATGAGCGACCTTGCGCGACCTCCGTATTAGTTTGTTTTGATAAACATGGGTTTTCTCTACAATGTCAGCTAGTAGAATGAATCCAGTAGTTTCAAGCGAGGTAAAAATTATTAATGTATACTTTGACAAATACAAAAGGGCGGATTTCAGTTATTACCAAACGTCACAATTTCGGCCGAAATTCCTAATAATCCCAAGCTGTAATCGGAGTTCCAAGAGTCGTCTGCTAGATTATATTCCCACGAATGAAGTCACGTGATCAACTAGCGGATTCTGTGTCAGCAGAAAAATTCTATGGAACACAAAGTGGACCATATTCTTATGTTGTTTCAGTGACTTTTAGCAATAAATCTCGCTACGTATCTTATTTTGTCAGTCACTATTTTTTTTTTAATCGTGGTTCTTTGAAGGAATTGTCACTAGTTATAATGAATTGATATTAAAGATAAATACTAAGAGAAGTTAATTATACCACCCGGTATCCATACAACGTGTTTTTCTAGACTTATTTATAGATCAAACATTGTACACGAAAATAGGTGACGCATTCTGCCGCCGTTGCAGAGTTGGTTGCTCATGAAATATGGGTCAAAGTGAAGGATTCATAAAGAAATCGAAATAATTTTAATTATTTTGTAGAATATCTGAGGAAACATCTAAGACATAAAAAAAAATTTTCGTTTTTTAATCTTTGACGAAATTTGGTGTTGAATCCTTATATCCACGAAAATAGGTTACACCACTGTATACATCAAGTGGTTTTAAGTTTATTAACCTCATAAATTCGGTATTATTTTAGCCATCTCCTTATGATATACGTAAATTTGGGACTCGAGTGTTCCTGGTACCTCTGATGATTTGGATACCACTAGTAAATGAGTACTGTAGAGTAATTATTTTCTCACAATATATATCACAAGTTCGTTATTAATCACAGATAGCTTATTCAGAATAATCTTCACCTGCATACTTCATAACATAACAGATTTGGTACCAGCAGTACTCAGTCTTGTATTTGGTCTCAAGGTTTCTTGTATAAACTGATCATAGGAAATCTTGCCTGACATTCCTTTGTCAAATTCAGACATTACATGATATATTTCGTCTTCGTCTAGAATAACATTCGCTAGTTTTAACACAGATTTGAATTCAGGCAGGGATAGATATCCATTTCCATTCAGATCTAACTTCCGGAATGCGCGTCGTAACGTCTTCCAATCTCCCGACATCTGAAAAATAATGAAAGACGGTTTTATACAGTAGGAGACAAAAACTGAACCAATGGAAATGTGAAACCAATAAGTCATTTCATGATTTCGACAGCACAATTTGTAGTAAAGTAAAGAATAACAGTGGTATATACAAAAAAAAATGTGTAATGATTTTGTTATTGTGTTACCGTCGAACAAACATTTAGTTTAAAATGAATCTACAATAGCTCCGTCTTTCCCAGATTAAAAAATGACGATGAAAAGTTGTGACTGAAGGTACCAACCTTTTCTCTTAGCTTATTAGTTATACCATGTAGACTAATGGCTCCATCATCTTCTGCTAGTGGTTGTTGTAAAACAGTAGCCATATCGTTACCATGACGCCATGTTTGCTGTTTCCATTCATATGGTTTCAAGAATTCAACATAAGAGACCCTATTTCAAAAAGAAAAGTAATTGATTTAGACCAATAACAAGATACAGGTATACTTAGCCTTTTAGAATGGTGCAATATGAATAGTTGAGAAGTACTCAACTGGACTCTTTTATAGTCCATAGTAAAAAACATGGTTTCAGCCTCTTGCTTACCTGCCATCATTTCTAGTATTAAACTTCCTAGTAATATTATCTAGTTCAACTTCAGACAAGTGTATATTTAGTTCCAATAAAATATCTTTAAATTCCTCTACTGTTATAAACCCAGTGTTAAATACATCCATAGACTGAAATTCTCGGCGTAGATCGTCAAACAAAAGCTCAATCTGGAAAAAAAATTCTGAAAATTCGAATCCGTTCAAACCATTGTGACATCCAAAACAAAAAAAAGAGAGTACATTAACTATTGTCTATACTATAAAACATCAGTGTTCATTGTATAAAAATAGTACGCCTACTTCAGTGAACACTGCTCCGTATTATAAGGTTTCCAGAAGCATGGCAAAGTGAGAGAAAAAAATAAAAGCAAAATTACCTTGGATCGAACATTATCTTCTAATAAATCTCTCGTAGAATTCAGTTTCCTGGATCTAACCATACAATCAGAGTCGCCATGTCGCGGAGGACAATATTTAGCATTGGGATAGGCCGCAGATCTAATACTGAATCCAAAATGGCGGACAAACTGATGATAGTCAAGAGTTCTGTCGGAGTTGGTGATAAACGTCTTCCACAAATCCCGTATTTCACCCCGAGAAACGTGAGGCTTTATATTAAACCTAGAAAAAAAAACAGAATAGAGATAACGTATACGTGTTTAAAATATATACCGAAGAAAGAACCTATTTAGTTTTGTACTTTTTCAATGGAGGTCAAATTAATATTTTCTCTTGAACTAATGTCTAATGTCTAATATCTGGGTTGAAGAACGATCTATTTGACAGGCGTGTCCGTAATGAGTCAATTGCCTATAGGTGTGTTAAAAAATATACTAAAAAAGCATTATCTAGCAGAATCATGGCACTCATAAGAGCAACTTTACCTTTTAAGAAGCTGATACATCATCTCTTGTGTAATACGTCTAGTATTGGTGTCGTCAAGATCATAAAACTCCTTCTCCACTTCTTGGAATTTCCTACTCAGTAAATCTTTAATGACTTTAAATATTTCTTTAGGATGTCGATGGCTAGGTGCTTCCTCGAGATATTCTTCCTGGAGTGGAATATCTACCTTCTTCTTTCCAGTAAATAAACTCTGCGCTTTTCCTCTGAAAACAATGGGCATACCAATATACTGAAAATTCATTCCATTGCTAAGGGTAAATGTCACTTGTCATTAGAAATAAAGCATATAAGTCCTAAGTAACTACTATTATCGTTTTTGATTTTATAAAAAGAAAGAAAGGTACAGCAAAACTCACTTGGTATCAAATTGTTTCATAAATTCACCATAGATAACGTCGCCGTCTTCATCCAATGGCAGACGATCAATAAAAGAATCAAATTGCCCGTCTGTTAATTCCAGATTAAAACGACTTTCAACCGCAGCTCGAAATTCCTCTAAGCTAATTCTGTCCTGACCCAACTTGTCAATATTCCTTTAATAGAGATCATATTGAATGTAAGGCTGTAGTGGGTCTCATAAAGGGTAGATGTATACAAATAACACTGCTCTCATGAACTCAAACCAACGATAAGCTTGGTTATCGGACATCCAGAAATCAATAAAACAAGGAAACCAGGTTAGCTGAATCCAGCAGTTACAAAACAGTAAAAGGTAGATGGTACAAGACAATTCAACAACTTACTTGAACGTAGCAAGAAGAGCCAGGAAATCTCGTTGAAACATGTTCATTAACTGTGATTCTATAGCACTTAACGTTGAATTATTACTAGGACTGCCTGGCTTGTTAAATCTGAAATAAAAGAAAACAGATCTTTTAGAGCGGCACTGAAAACAAACCTATAGCGATAGTGTAAATCAGTTGATCAAATGAATTGTCTGACTTCGAAACGAAGCAACCCTTCTTGTGCATCCATCTGAAATCAACTATAATATATGTATAAAGGCTTACCTGTGCTTAGTTTGAGATAAGATATTATGGACCATTCCATCTTCGGATCTGTCTTGGAATCTATGGAGGAATTCTCTATAGGGTATTCCCCGGCCTTGAACTTTTACACTGCAGCGCGAAAGGAATGCCCCGAGAAGAGTTTTGTCCAGCTTGAGACCGTGTGTTTCTAAAACTTCTAGAAAATCATCGTAGGATACCTAGAAATGAAAACGGTATAAAACAAAATCAGATCCAATTTTCATGAGAAAATAGAAGTATTACAGTTTATCAATTAAAGAAGAGTTTATATAATTTAGACACAACCATAGTTAGTGATCAGCTACATAATAAAGAACATACCACGCCAGATTTGTCAATATCTTTGACTTCAAAGCTTTCTTTCATGTTAAAGAATCCCTCTCTAAATTTATCTTTTAACCACCGCTCAATATCTAACTGTTGCCTTCTCTCTACTTCTCTGCGTTTTGGTGTTCGGCTGCTACTTCTCTCAGATTCTGGTGATGGATTTCCTGTTCAAAAAATACAACTGTGAAGTTCATTTTGGCAAAATTTACAAGGTCATATGTTTTCACGGTTGAAATACAGGCATGCTCATTGCCACTAATTTAGATAATGTGTCGTGTTATATTAAATCATAATATCAATCAGTTCTGTGGGTAACTTCAGTCGACAGCGTGTAATATCACGACTTTTCCATGGTTAGAATCCCATCATATCTTTTTCAGAAACACTCTACAAGCCACGTTGCTTTTTTTTGTGTTTTCTATATCCCGAATGTGCATTACACCTGAAGTAAAACGTGAATAGCTAATTACAAACCTTGTTCTACAACCGGTGAGAGAGGACATTTCTCACTTTCGGCTGACATACCTCTCCATTGTATACCCAGTGCTTTAAGAAACTTTTCACCCTTTATAACTCCTTCACAATCTCTATCATATCTATAGTATGGGATATATTGTTAGAATTTTACCTAAATTTGTGTAGATATATAAATATACAGTGATGACTTTCTCATATGCCACTATTGAGGTTATATGCGGGATAACCTTATACAAACACTTTTTGAGTCACTTTTTTAGTGTAGGTATCATCTCCGAATAATTCGAATGTTGCAGACTCTCATTTAGGCTTTGAGATTTAGAGTACTCATTGACATCGTTGACAGACTGCATAGGTTTGTCAGTCATTAATATCAAACTACACACAAACTAGCTTACTTATTCCAGAGCTTATCAAATTCTTCATCTTCCAAATAAAACATCATCTTACTCAACATTTGTCTGAATTCTGGTTTCAAGATTCGACCAGATCCACCTGGATTTATCTGCGGAATCATATCAGCCAGATCCATAAACCTGAAACGGTAAAACGGGAATATCGGCATTGTAAATCATCTCAACGACCTACTGATGAGTAGAAACAGTAGTCTCATTCAGTAACTTTTTAAGAAGAACATCATTCTAGAATTCTGAATAAGAAAGATGCTTTTTCAGCCAATATTGAGCAATTGATCAAAATGCTAGTTTTTAGGGTTTTTTTCTTGACGAGAGTAAAACAGTGCTTACTACTCGGAGTTATGTTAATTCAATATTCGTCTGTACCTTTGTTTTGCTTTCTCTTTTAATTGTGTGTGAACTTGTGAGGCGGACATATTCACTTTGTCGTTTCTGGTGACTGGATCCATCCATTTAGGATAATTCCTGTCTTCATCCACTCTGAAAGCTGAGTGAAATTCTGTAAAACTGATAACTGACTTCTCCTTGAGATGTAATCGTTCTAATAGTCGCGATATAACAGATTGGGAGAGTTGTCGGTTTAATATCACCATCAATATTCTGCTTAAAGCTTCTCTGGAATTATAACACAAAATATACTCCTAGTTGACAAATCAAGTTAAAGGTGGCATCTTTATAACTGAAGAATGGGTATGCCCTTCCAGTCCATACAACTGCATAACGCCACTTTAAAATCTGAGTGTTTTATTATGTCGATGACTGTCGATCTCCGTGTCGATGGTTTGTTTTAGATCTATATAGAATGTAGTTGCGTACCTTGTAACATTACCCTTCAATTCGGGATCATTGTCTTTAAATCTTTTCTTGATTTCACGGTAATTATTCTTCACCTTCCCTCTTAATAATGATTCAAGCTATATCAAAATAAAATTTACTGTTATTTACACAGATTTGGCAAGCTGGAAGATTTGTTCACTCAGTCCAAAGAACAGACAAAGAGAGGTAGGTAATATATCATTTGAGGGGGGGTATGATAACCGAAATAGTACACATAGTATCATTGATAATATAAACTAGGTATAGAATATGATTATACAGTATTGTAGAAATATGTAGAAAGTAAATAAAAAAAACAATTAGTATTCTAGGTAAAGTTGAATTTTAACTATTGTTTATTGTGATAAATATTGTGATTTGATCATATACCTCATCTATTTCTAGTCTAGCTTGTGTTGATGCTGCTGACATTCTACCAGCACGACTTGGTGGTACTATATCTTCTCTATCAGCCATTTCTGCTCGACTTCCTGCAAAATTAATGGGGAGCGTTTCTAGTTAAGCTACCATTGAAACAAATATACTTTTTGTGCCATTATCTCCCAGGGAGGGCAAAGTACGATAAAATTAAGCAGGACAATACGGACAAAGCAGGACAGATCCTTGCTTACAAACCCACTGATAATTATGACAGATAGTTTACTTAGCTATTTCATTACAGAAGTTAAATTAGTGTACTTGGTCTAACTACATAGTGTAGGTAGGCTTTACAAATAATATGGAGAAAAAAACCTAGATTATACTAAAGATATGTATCGATTATTCAAGTCTAGAGGTCGATAGTCATGACATATCATAATATCGAAATACATATATATACAAAATAAACACACTTTGAAATCTGACACTTCATTGGGGAGGTCTAACTTTAATCACATGGACTGAAATATCACACAATTATGTTTAGATAGGGATTTTAAAAATAAACACAGATTTAAGATATCAGTCATAGACGTGAAAAATTGAGAATACATTGATTAACATCAAGCATAAGGGGTTAATATCTTTGTCAAATAGGTGCAAATGAAGTCATGAATATTGTTGATTTGGTTGATGGAATAAAAGTCATTCTACCATTTTTTCCTGTATCATTTTTTGTATAAATATTAGCCAAAATGTTCCTTACATGTAGTACATTATTGGAATATGATGCACACAAGGAGCTAAAATAGGTATATTAAACCGCCTTGGATGCACCCTAGTGTCATATGGTTCCGCTCGAAAATCTACAATTATCACGTCTACTTATGCTAATTATCATAGATTGCATACCTTACAGGTGCATTACTAAATGAATTTGAAGTCAAGTTGCCCAAAAAGAATATGACCTGTAGCCCTACACACCCGATACATGTTAAAGAGTATACGTAAATACTTATGTACGTTTAAAGCAAAGGTGTGCGATTCTGATGCAAGTAATAATTGTTATATGATGATCTTGAAATTTCAGAATCACGCGTCAATAGTTTGCTAGTCATCTTAATCGCCAGTAAATAGAAAAGCCAGTCAATTGCTATGAGCTCAGATATATAAGAATAATAATTCCTGATTTAAATGATAGTTTTAAATAGATTAAATATGAAGCATAATACATAGAGGTTCCTTATGGATTCAACTTACCGAAAATAGGCATTCTTGTTTTGGTTGGATCACCTTGAGAAACTTCCACCCCTTCTGGTATACTGTCGATTGCAGGTGGAGGCTGAGCAAAATTATCTTTTCTGAAACGCAATCGACTCTCACGTCGACCCATGGCACTAAAACTCTTCCTAACGAACAGTTGCTCTTCATTAGCTAGCGGACGACCTTGAGACATCTGAGAAAATGGTCTATCTTGTGATTTAGATACCCCGGTAACGTTCATATTTCCTGGATTGCTCATCCTTGAAAGAGGATGCTGTATTTCCGGAAGTGACATTCTAGTCTGCATGACGCTCATCTGTGATGCAGGTCGTGCTAATCCTAATTGAGACATTGTGGTTTTTGGTTGATAGTCAGAAGTAAACTGTGTCGGTTTGTATTCCTGTCTTATTTCCTATTTATTCTGTGTTATATCGTCATATCTGAAAAGACAAATTCTACGTTTATATTTTTTATCAGAGTAGTCAATACATTTCACTTTCTATAAGTGAATTAAACACGAACCACAGGCAAATTGCTTTTTTGCTAAATTTGCTAAATAGTTTTGAAAACCTCTTAAGAATATCTTTAGGTAAATTAAACCAGAATGTCGAGGTGACAATATATTTTATAATATATATGATCTAGATTGTATTTATCGTATTTTAATGGAAAGGTGTGATTTTGTGATAAACCTGAAAGATAAATAGTGGTTTCCTTCAAGTGTTTTAATTTAAAGAATAATTTTGAAAGCATTTTATTTACCATCTACATGTATGAGGTTGATTTTCCTAAACTGTTTCTAACTACTCTGTTTTATTCACATCGAGAAGCGGGGGCTGTAGGTGTTCAAAAAGTACAAGCATTCTCCGAACGGCTTGATAGATGATTTATATTTTCAGTAATGCCTAGTTCACACCAACGGCGAATGCTGCGCTTTAAATCGGCGAGCAAAGCGCCATCATTTTTTGTTTACTTTTCCAAAAATATCACGATCTCCTAAGTAATGTTACGCTCTGATAAGCTCTGATACGAATTGGTTACGCTTTGGGGACGAATTATTTCCCGATTTGATCAGGCCTTGTTACGCTTTAAATCGCGCTTTGATAAGCTTTATTAAGCTTTGATGCGGTTATGACGCTTTAAATAACGCTCTGTTACGATTATCAAGCTCTGTTGTGCATTGTTACATTGTTAAGCTCTGTTACGCATTGGAAAATTTAGAAATGGCCGATTTCATGCCGCTTTTGATCAAGTGGTGACAGACCGTGAAGACTGGGGTCCCCGCTTTGAATAAAGCTCTGTTAAGCTTTCCTATGCTTTGAGTCAAGCTTTGCTGCACTTTGTTACGCTTTGTTAAGCTTTGATACGTTCTCGGCGCTTTAATCAATTCGTGACAGAGCGCCCAAAATTTTTAAACAGTTTAAAATTTGTTGGCGCTCTTGCCGAATATCCAGCTTTGCTCAAAGCTTTCCAACGATCTATTACGACCCTGGCGCTTTAGTCGAGCTTTGTTACGCTTTGGTACCGCTTTGTACTCCGCTTTAAAGCGCGATCAAAGCGCCGTTGGTGTGAACTGAGCATAAAGTCAGTGTAAATTACATTATCTGCTTTATCAGTCCTAGAGTAGCTGATAATAACTCAATATCCGAATCCTCTAGTATTTACTATAGAGATTTAATCTGCATTGTAAATAGCAATATTATTTCAAATTGACAAATATTTTCATCAACAAAATCAGTTTTCTTTGAGTAGCACATACTGTCAGCTTAATCTGGCTACCAAGAAAATTTATCACAATTCCAGTTTGTGGGACCAAACTCTGGTTTTCATTCACAATTCCAGATTTTGGAACTGAATTCTGACTAACAGTAGCCAGAATACTACTTCCACCTGTTGTTGCAACTGAATTCTGTCTGACGAACGTCGTTACCATTTATTTATATAAGGAATCTCTGGCTGTTTAATGTGAGATGTGACCACTTAAAAAAATTTAATCGGGGTAGAATACATCAAATATCAAAATAAAGTATATATACAACCAGTCAGGATAAAAAGATCAATTTAAGGATAAACGAAAACTTTTACATTCAAGTTTTGTGATGGTATTTGGAACATGTATAAATGATTTGAATATTATCTTTAAATAGCTTCACCCAAGTTCGATTATAATTTGTTTCGCCTGATTGAAAAATTCCACAGAATTATTGCAATGACAGTGAAGTAATTTTGAATTCTTAAAACAACATTATTTTCAGGATTTTGTTTTTGTCGTATTCACGCAGACTGGAAATGCTTACTTACCTTATATAAACCCTAAAGATGTCAAGAAAATTAGACATCTCTCTATAGCATTGTTGTATTAATTCTAAGAAATGAAGCCTATTTAAAAAAATGAAATATCACATGCATAACTTACATTGAAATTAAAATAATCCAGAGGAAGGTTGTTAATGTATTTATTCTGTTCACTGATAATATGGTAATATAAAATGATAAAGGTAGAGCGTTGTGGTATGAAGATTAGTTGTTATTGGTTACCAGGTAGAGATGATTATATTGTTCACCTGTAGATTAACCAGGTAACTATTAGAGCGAGGTAATCCCATTGTTAAATTATAATACCCTATCAAGTTGATGTTATTCTATACATTTAACATTTTATTAAATCTTGCTGTACAATGATTGACTATAGATATATTAGTGGTCTGAGAATCCAGTCTACTAGCAGGTCTTTGGCAATACCTCCTTCTTTTTTCGATTTATCCAATTTTATGTACAGATAGGGAAAATTTGATAATTCAAAGTTATCAGACTACCCCATAGCGACCGAAATTACATCCCACGACCATCACTTATTGGATGCAACCAAGCAAATAACTTAAATTCTAACGCTTTAACCTAGAAAACATTTTGAAACATTTGAATTGGATTGGTGCAAAAACAATATCATAATTTTAACTTTGTTAACAATAAATTGGGAGACAATAGTTTTACCTTTATATGTTGTACACAACGATTCTATCAGAATTGACACATGGTATAGCTTTAAAATAACTGGATCCGAGAGATAATGCATAAAAATACGCTTGCTTTGAATTCCATTTCCTATGCTTGTGTTTGTAGCGCTAGTTATTTTGAGGCATTTAAGGCAACAGTTTTTTCATGGGTTCCAGAAAGATTGAGAAATCGATCTGTCATTCTTTCCAAATGATCGACTACATTTTAATTACTTGGGCATGACATAGAAACAATCTACTAAATTCAATGTAGAGCCGACTTGATAACCTTTGTTTAACAATACTAGCTTTCTCTTCCATGTAAATCCTATTGGTCCCTTTAATGAAGAAATTCTGATTCATTGGACGAAAATAATTGTAGCACCAAGACTAAATTCAGTATTATTTCTGATCAGAGCTATCCTCATGCTGCAACAATGTTTCAGAAACACAAGTCATTGACTGTAGCTACGTGCTTGCTAAAATAATCTCAGGCTGCTGTGTTTCAGATGACCCAGATGACTTTCCGTATAGATTTACCGGATCTTATATGAAAATGCTAAAGCTTCTATATCAGGTTTTATGAATACTTTGACCAAAAGAAATTTCGTGTAAAAAATGAAAAATATAAATATAATATCTACTAAATATATCTATAAATTACTTACTACGGTAAAGGTGGTTATCGTTTAAATTCTACCGAAAGAGTTGAAATGAAAGACATAAAATAAGAGGCGGCAGAATTTTGCCTCCAAGAAAAAACAAGTGGTTGCCTAGCAAGATACGCCAACTTTCCAGATCCATTTTCAGTATATCAAGGGCGGTCACCTATCTGTGTCATACCAAAAATCTCTTTTGTACAATATATTATTGATTTAAACAAACACACATTATTTAACAAAATTCTGACATAAACTGTCACCTCTATCGCCAAACTCAAATTCCGTTGATCGAAAAATTGTCAAATTCTATCTTGACTAAGATCTCATTATATATGATGATAAAACTGTCAATTGACACAAGCCAATTGTGGACGGACCAACCGACGGACGGACAGGGGCTACATACGACCACATTATAATCTATCAAGAATGTAACTGATACTCAATATATTGGCGGATCCCAAAACGCGCTGTGCGTACTCGTTTTGACGATCTCATGAATCATTTCAATTCAACCAATCATTTCATGGCGGATCTTCCTTAGAAAAGCTTTCTGTATCTACAACGACCAAACCAAAAAATGAGTTTCTGGATAGATCAATTGCAAACATATGTACCTGACGTTCTAAATATACAGCATAACATTGACAATCAGATTCTACCTTTCGTTGCCACCTACAACACTACATCTTAAAATGTCACTGTGATTGTCAAATGTTTGTATAAAGAATGATGAATTCCCTAACTATACCTAACGTTTGGTGACTGCTTTCAAAAGGAATAAAAATCTCTCCAGAAAGTAAGTACTTTCTTATCAAATTGATGTATTCCAATGCTGAAATCTCTATAAGTCTCTACATGTGACCTTACTAACCTAAGCCAGTGCTTCTATAGGAGAGCATCTATCATTACACCTTAAGCTAAGGTGACTCCCCACAGTTAAATTAGAGAAAGAATAATGACATAGATTTATTTCTTGTAAGACTTTAACAAGGTACATACATCATAACAGATTCCTAAACAATATTTTTTCTATTTCATTTGAGAAAAATAAAACATTAAATCTTCAAAGTTTTCTGATCAGCTTTTAGTAAAACTGAAAACATTATTGACCTTTGTAAACAATTTAAAACTAAACTACACATACAATTTGACAATACAAGAGTAAAAGCAGTCCAGATGTCTGTAGTCTCCGAGTCAAAGATAAGCATTAATATAAGTCTGTATGTTATTTAACTTATCAAAATATCATTATCACAATTTGTTAAAAAAATTAATCAATTTCCATTGGAGACAGGGTGTAAAAATATATTGTCTGTGGCGTTTTTACACCCTCCCCAGAATAGAGACTGGCCAGGCTTCTGCCCCCTACTTTCAAATTTTTCAGCATTGTACATAAAGAAATAGTTAATCCAACAGCTAAAACAATCTATTTAGATGTTACACATCTAGCTGTCATCTTCATTAACAATATCCATATCATCTGGTTGTAGAGGTTTTTTATACGTAGGATTGGGAATATCTTTACGTAGCTCAAATATCTGAAATAAAGTTAGAGACTCTTACTATCCAACACATCACACAATCTGACATCATTATATGATCTTTTTACAATTCAATTACTAATCATCTTCATACTATTGACACAAAATTGCAATTTCATTGTAAAGACTATTTTTAATATCTGCAACAGACCATTGGGTACAAGAACAGCAGTAAAAGGAATGTTTTGACTAATATTAAAGGGGCCATCCGCTTTTTTTGTAAAACATTTACATCATAATTTACCTCGTAAATTATACCTGAAAATATTTCTAAAGTATGCCATTTATATCTAAGTATCTACTTGATCCATCTGGCAACTAGGCGTTTATTTTACTCAAATCCGTACATTAGTATTCAAACTTGCACAAATCATAACGAACATTAAAAGTTTTTATGTAAAGTTTTGGTGTCAAAAAATTAACGGCTGGATTTTTGTAGTTTCAGATACTTTATGGGATACATGTCTATAGATTTTGGTTTATATTTTTCACAATTTGAGCAAAAAAAAAATTTCCACCAACAAAAAATTCCCTTTTAAAGATGGGTTCCCTTATTTTCATTCAGGAAAATGAAAATGCAAATGATTGTATGAATAGAAATTAAAGGTGTTCTAATGACCTGGAAAAATACCAGTTTGTCTTACTTTTCCATAATTAATTTATAATGAGCTAAATTAGAAGAGAATTACCAGCAGAATTCCAATGAGTGAACAATCAAAAAAGGTCAAAAAGTCTTTTTTTGTTTATCCAGACTGTACGTACATGGACATTTATGATTGGTTAAAACTCTTAATTACATGCAGTAAGAACATAATGATATGATTAAGAATACATGATAATTCATTGAAAACACCAATTAATCAAATAGTTTGCTTAATTTGACACTAAAAAAATAAGGAAACCCATCTTTAAGTGATTATACCTGTATGTAACTTTCAGATAATGTAATCATCTGAGGTAAAATATCAGCAACATGTAAATCTTGCATTTCATACCATTTACCAGTACCCTATAACATAATCAAATTATAATAACTTTTATACTGCTCCTGAAAAAAGCATCTAGTCTAGTGGAACAATAAACCGAGGCCCTGTGTTCTACGGGCTGTGCATGCAAGATCCCTCAACAGTTGGAAATTGAAAAAGAGCAGGCGTTGCCCGTCTTCATTATCCCAAATGGAGCAGAAAAGTAAGATGTAAAACTCCATTCATCTTAATTCATTGAAGAATTGAGAAATTTTATCTAAAAGGTTAATTTTCAGAGGAAATAATCCATAAATTTAGACAGACCTCAGTCTTATTGGCATGGCTATGATTAAATTTGTAATGCATTAAAAGGATTGCAAAGAGGTTTTCTAACCTTTTTATGTGTATCACGGACACTGATATCATAAATTTGTACAATGGCTCTTGCAATTCCACTAAAGCAAGCCTTGTGACTTCACTATTGCTATTGATATCTAAGGACCAATGTGATAGTGACGTCATAAAACGCATAGTTGATGCTATTAGTGTCCCCAATACAGATAAAAAGATAGCATGCAAGGCAAGGTAACATACTCCCACTGGCAGCTGTCAGAAAAAATGATAAAACAGTCTTAAGTGACTAAAGTATGAATTTTGTCATATTAAAGAAATTTTAATAGTTTGAATTCAATGATATATATATTTACTGCCAGTTATTTATGCTGAGAAATTCCACCAAATTTTAAACCATGTTACATTAAAATCAATTGAAAACTGTAGTCTCTAATGTGTAACAAACAAATTTTGACGCATTTTTCATAAGTCAAGGGCAATAACTAAAAATCCGTTCGTCGAAAGATCGTAAAATTCGAACTTGACCAAGATCTCATCAATATACATGATCACACCAGGAGCGACGGCAATATACGTCCACATTTCCATGTGGGCGTATAAAAACTAAAAGATAAAATATACTGACCTTGTGTAAAATATGACATCTATAGGTACCTTTCCCTGGTCCTGGCTCCCCATCATGTATTACATTAGCCATTAAATCATACACAGTATTCTTATGTTGGGCTCTTACTTCTGGTGAGAGTAGGTCACCAAAATCTATATTCCTAAAAAAAAAAAAAATAATCAATTTGCATGAAAAATTATCTTCCGGTTAACTACCAATAATAGTACCAATATATAAGTTGCAGAAAACAATGGAAGAATCTTTTGAGTACTTCATATTTGTTTTGCTTCACATAATGCATCAAAAATGAACAATACATTCTGAGTGGATCATTAAGATTAGGAAATGTTTAAACTTTAGTCTTTCAAGATCCAAAATATCTGTGTATAACCATTTGTTTTATTCTTTCACTGCAAAGTAAACTAATGACTATTCTAATGAAGATACTTACTTGATAGGAAAGTTGACAATGGTAGGATTCTTTTCAAAAACAAAATAATTCTTGGTAAATCTCTGAAATAGGACAAAAAAACAAAATTTAAAATTTCATTTAATAAACATATATCAATATTCTTTTTCTAGTCATCTCTAACTACTACTAACCTTGAAATATATAATAATAAATGGTGGCAGACGAGTCAACTCAAATCTCTTCATTGTACTGTCTTTATGTGTTTTATATTCTTTCTCTTGTTGGCCGTTAAATTTAGCTAGAACAGTAGCGAAGGGAACCTGGGGTATAATATTCTCACGTAGTTCATCAGGATATAGAGGGGGTGATGGGATATCACATGTTAAATATAACCATGGTATCTCATCTACCGTCTCTGGAAAAAGGAAAAGATAATTAATATTACCAGTTTGTAGTTTATTAGGCTTATGTTAGGGTCATTGAGACATAAACTTCTTACAGTATGTACAAGAACTGTTAACATTATCTATGTGATAAAGATTTGGTAGAGGAGCTGATATGTTCATGATGACCACAGTGAAGTCTTTCAGATATAATGTACAAGCAATGACCATTAAAAACCTGTTACATGTATATCAAAGGATGACAGAATTTAGAGATGTCACGTAACAAACCATAGAGTTAATAAAACAGGTGAAAAGAAAGGCAGATGGATTTAGATAAGGTCTCAAATAAGTTACACAGAATTTCTAAGAAATATGATCTGGTAATATTACCCTGATATTCTGGTGTAAGAAGCAAAGCAGCTTTTTCTTCTTCCTTCAAATCAATTGCAGGAACTTTTCTAGAATAAACTTTCATCTTCCCTCGAAATGTTTTATTGATTATAGAACTGTTCAGTTTTTTAGTTCCATTCATAGCAGTATGTAGAGAATTTAGAAACCATGACAACATTTCAATCGGGTCACCTGGAAAATACAGAAAAAGTGTGAACAAATATAAAAACATTGAGTAAAATAAATCCAATTTTAACTGATTTCATGATTGTATTTTAGAGAGTACCTAAAAAATCAAATCAGATAAATTCAGATGATATTTGATGATTTTTAACATCAAAGAAAAATACTTTAAGTGATAATACACTCAATTACTATTTCTTTGACTCATTCATCCATTACATGTATTTCTTTTCCTAAGAAAAAAGGTATTTAGACATTTTACCTTGATGTGTAATTTGAAATTTTTTCCTGCTACACAAAACGACAGCTTGTAACATTTCATGTGGACTGACATGAGCTTTGAAGTTCCTGGGATTCCATAGTTTTCTGATTAATTCTCCAAATCTCTGGACTAACAGAACCATTTGATCTCCTGGAGGTCGTTTAATCTTTTTATAATTCTCTTCTTGTAGAAAGAAGTTGCGTAATGGTGATACATGAGATAAAGACTGTAAGGGAAACACAGGTAATAAACAAAAATTAAAGAGTCCAGAAAGTTTTTGGGGTTAATAAAATCTCAGTGAGGCTCTGCTTAGGTGCAAAAACAATACAAAATCAACAATCTTGAGCTCTGACCATGAATGATCTTGAAACCCAATTAGGTGCCGCTCATTGTGTACAATTTTCCAAGTTCAAATCTAAGCAGATGATTTGTAATATTATAAATGAAGAAATTCTCACCTGTAGTATGACATTACAGTAATCATTAGCCTTGATATTATTCAAACCAACAATACCTGCCCAAAAAAAAATATATATTTCAAAATGTTGCAAAATTTGTGGTTTACACATATGACTAACCTCATTTTTCGTCTCTTATATTTTTTAATCTATCCTACAATTATCAATCTTCAAATACATTGTCTAAATAGATCAATGCTGTGATGAATAATACACCAACAGATTACAAGGAAAACAATTCATTTCTACAACAAAGTTTTTGCTGCTTTCAGCAAGTTGTTGCCAATTTTGCTTAGCCTTTGAAGTTTCAAAGGTTCTTTGACAAGTCACATCACCATTAAAGACCTGAAGCATTGGTCTGGATCTTAACAAGGATCCCATGTAAAGTTATATAAAGATTTTGATAATATGATACCACATATCTTGACTAACTTAGTTTCATTCAAAGTATAAAATATCTAAATCATCAATTACCTGGCAGATAGGTAGTGTTATCATAAGCTCGAGACATTTTAGCTGTTATATCTAATCGTTTAATATCTTTAGTATTAAAAGTAGGATTCAAAACATACTAAAATAGAACAATACAAACCTTATATTTTACTACATTATATAAATTCAGGAACAAGAAATATTTTTGAAGCAAGAAACACATGAAACATAAATATAACAATGACATATTATGATGGAAACTTTCTTTCACAAGATCAAACACAAACAGGTTTTCAGGAAAAAAATATCTAGTACAGTCACTTTATTGACACCAAAAGACACTTGAAATCTGAGCTATAGATTTTTCTGCTTATTTCATTTAATTCAAAGAATAGCCACAGCCTTTCCAGAATTTCTGGCTGTGATCATCTTAAGATTACATCATTACCAATCTCGGTAATAAGCTTTAAAAATATCACAGTAAATTCACAATTCTAATTCACTTACTATAATATCTTCTAATGAAGAGTCTATAATTTGGTAGTTGTCAGGAATACAATAAAATTTATGTGTAGCTAAATTCAGGAAAACATGATGTCCCTCAAATACACTGTGGGTATAGGCATGGGTATTGTTACCACGACCTGTCAAGAAAGGAAAATATACTAGATTGGTACACTTAAGGTAACAAATCACTGAGACAGTTTAAAACCAAATAGTTTAGAGATGTATTTACTGCAATCTGCTGAATAAAAATCAGAACTCACTAGTTAATCAGGTCTGAGAGACAGTGAACCTACCTTGAAAATATTTACCACAAACTAAACAAGCATAAACATTAATATGTGACAGAGAAACAGAACATAGCTTCTCAAAATCAAAGTCTAAAACAGATCTAAAATAGAAAATCAAATTAACATCAGATTATAACCTAAGACAACGTAGCTTCAGAATTATTCTTACATATGGTCTGAGAATCGAAGAATCATAAATGTACAGAATAAAGATTGATTGACACAATAACTGTGTTTATCACTCTTTTTATTTAGTAACATAATTCATGATAAGGTAGTAAAGAAATTTATTATTTCAAATTACTACCAGAAAAACCTATTAAATGTGATTTTATAATTTTTTACATATTCTATCATCCTATGGTTTCAATGGTCTCAAATCATTTTCATGTCGCAACAAAAGTCACAGCCAAAATAAAATAAACTGAAAGAGACAATCTGAACAAACCTGTTAATGGTATCAAGATATGGACAAGATCGACTTCTATCAACTTTAGGTTGAACAGGTACTGAAATAAAGAGCATTGATTATTTGATATTTATTTGATATACTATTTCTGCCCTCAATCAAAAGGCACAAGATTTTCCTATCTATTTCCTTCTACGCAATTTTGAATTCTGTCTGTACCTACTATTTTCCTTGTACACGTGAAACGCAGACTGAACTCTGGTTCCAACTTGTTTTATTCAACATCTGGTTATTCCATGAATCCAACATGTGCAGAACTCCATTATTTCATGAATCTTAAATGTGCATAACTCACTAATGGAGCTACCCCAAACAGTAACAAGTTGCCGTCCCTCTAGTTAATTGTTATATTAGTTACAAAAGTAAAGATGGTTTGCGCTACAGGAATGTGCCTGTTATAAATTGTAATTTAATATTAGTCATTAATTAATTTAAGATAAAGTGGTGGTGATTTACCTATAATAGTTGATTTATTTTCATTCTTTATATCTTCAGACTTAATTTGATCTTTTTTACAATTTTCTGTTGTTTCAGATTTAACAGTAGCTTCTTCTTTGACATTTTCCAAGTTTATATCAGTATCTAATAAAGGCTTCTTAGATTCAGATCCTTGAGAATCTTTCGTATCTGAAAAAATAACAATGCTTGAAAAATAACAAATTGTCCATTCAATTTCAAATGTTGTTTATTAATAAACTTGACTTAATAGAATAATGATCAATTTATAGTATATCAAAAGCACTGTCTTTCTTTTATCTAGTGTTGAAACAGTTAGTGATTTTCGGCAATAACCTTTTGTTACCCTTTTGTAATTCTGCTGACTAATCACTACCAATGACCTTGCTTCAAGGTCATTGCTTTTAGATCAAATGACTTGGGTCATTATTAGAGATACTCATCATTTATTATGCCATACAGAACAGAAATATCTAATCTAACCATTCTATCAAGCTACTGTTGTAACACAATGTCTGATTGTCCTGCAAAGCCCACCAAAGCCCCTTATCCAAAAAAACTTTAGCCATGAAATTTGGTTTGGTCCAACAATAAGAGGCAATTTAAAACTTAAAGAAGAATCTTATCTTTGTTGCTGAGCTTTATATATTAATATGTAACATCTGTTGAGTACCTAGTTTGGACCAGTCAGTTTCAGGCTCAATAATCTGGACCACAAACATCAACGTTATTCTGGCAACACGCTTTATAATATATACCCCCATCACAATAAACCTCTCAATTATTCAATCAACAAAAATGACACAAGTATAGATGATTAATTACTGGAGAAAAGAAGAGTTTTAAGAGTATTCAAGTGACAATTCTGTTTGTCAAAACGCTTTCTTTCAACTTGTAATAAAACCGCTTAACTAATCATCTCAAAACAGACCCAGTTTTCCGCAAAATCCTACCCGAAATCGGTTAACTGATTAACTGTTTCATCACTACTTTTATCACCAATACTAGTAGATCTACTCTCTGACTACAATGATTTCTGAATAGAATTTCGCCAATCATTTACGAATGTATTGAAATACCGGTATCAACTACAAAATACTATTGAGTCTTACATTGTCTTAGGGTTGATGAAAATGTTTAACCATTGGAAAGGTTAGTAATAATTATGAGTTATGGTTTTACAGAGGGGAATTTTCAGTAAAAGTATTTCATTTTCAAGTGAATTTTCTGCGAGAAAAGTGTGTCTATTTCATATGTAAAATCACTAAACCTTATATTTCTATGTACCCAAAGACATTTTAAGACAAATAGCATGCAGTTGAAAATTTATGAAATGAGAGAAAAAATTCAATTTGGAGCTCAATGTAGTCAGAGAGTAGCAAGTATTGCAACATGGAGAAGTGAAAAAACGGTGCAAGCACCCAAAAACAATGTAAAAACTGTCTCACTTATTTTCAAAAACCTGTCCCTGACACAGGCATCTGTTTCTATCAATAGTCGACTCTATCTACATAGTATATATATGAGAAGGTGGCTAACACTCGTCACGACCATCCCCGCTTCAGACGACTTTCTACCATTTACCGTAATGAAACATTATCCCAACCTTATATGAATCGTTTCATTGAATATTTTCCCTTCACACAAGACCTATTTTATATCTCCCTCGGTGTTCCCTTTCCTACTAATCTAACTATTGTTCACAAAATTTATTAAAAAAATTTACACCCATCGTTTCACTGTATCCAACTACCAAGACTACCAACAACTACCTAGTTTGCGATATCAGCATCCGCTGGAAGCGAACGTTAACTTGTCATCTACCTACCATATTCTTCAATTAACAACTGAAGCAATACAAGTTATATTATCTAAACCCTGTCTTCTATCATTTCAAGGTAAGGTTCAGTTTATATATATTTATTATATTATATGAGAGCATTGGTAGTCACAGCCTGATAGGGAATCTATAAAAGCAATTAATCAAACGTTATTATACTTTGAGCCTTAGATTCCATATTTGCCTGTTGACTACTCCAACTGGTACAACGCGGTGGATAATCTATAAAAGCAACTATTCAATTATATTAAATTGAGCCTTAGATTATCTACCAAGGCTGCATCAGGACTGAATGCGTTAACTCACAAGTGCACAAGATAATGTCGTGCCCTAAGAATATTGGCAAGTAGTGCCTCTCGAAATTACAAGCAAGTAAACTCTCCCCAAACAATGTTATATTAGTTAATTATTATATTTATGACATTTTATATAAACACCCCCAACTTTATATATTATGCATGCATTGAGTATTGAATATTTATATTGAATTTATGTTAATTCTTCATAATTATCATTTGTATTTTAATGTATAGTTTTATAACATATTATTATCATTATCATGTAATGAATTAACAACTGAAGCAATACAAGTTATTTTATCTAAACCCTGTCTTCTATCATTTCAAGGAACAACCGTAACATAATAACAGGAGCATGTAAGAGCTTAGAAAGAGCATATAAAAGCTTAGCGGTAAAACAAATAAATACGACAGAAACAACAACTATTATATTATTACCAAACGTCACCATTTTTTATCGGCCGAATTTCATTATAATCCCGAGCGGTAATTGGAATTCCAAGTGTCGTCTGCTAGAATATAATCCAACAAATGAAGTCACGTGATCAACTAGCGGATTCCGTGTCAGCAGAAAATTTCTATGGAACACAAAGTGGACCATATTCTTATGTTGTTTCAGTGACTTTTAGCAATAAATCATGCTACGTATCTTATTTTGTCAGTCACTATTTTATTTTTAAATCGTGATTCTTTGAAGGAATTGTCACTAGTTATAATGAATTGATATGAAAGATAAATACTAAGAGAAGTTAATTATACCACCCGGTATCCATACGTGTTTTTCTAGACTTATTTATAGATCAAACATTGTACACGAAAATAGGTGACGCATTCTGCTGCCGTTCCCGAGTTGGTTGCTCATAAAATATGGGTCAAATTGAAGGATTCATTAAGAAAATCGAAATAAACCAATTTCTATTATTTTGTAGAATATCTGAGGAAAGACATAAAATTTTTTTTTCGTTTTTTTAACTTTGACGAAATTCGGTGTTGAATCCTTTAATCCACGAAAATAGGTTACACCACTGTATATATACTATGTAGATAGAGTTGACTATTGATAGAAACAGATGCCTGTGGTCCCTGACCCTGCTTTCAGTAGAGCGAAATCAGATTGTTTATCTTCCATAGGATCCCACAATGCTCGGGTATTTTCTCCAATATACTAGAACCAATTAATATAATGTCACCCAGTCAAGTTAATAAATTTAGAATCGGAAATTAAATGTGGCCTGAAAACACCAGTTATCTCCTTTTCTTACACTCTTTCATATCAACCCATTCCAGATATGATTCGTTCATTGCTAAATCTATGACTCAAATATCTATGTAACAAAGTTGCACAATTTTCTAAGTATCTTACCCTTATCTTGATTAGCATCATCGATTTGTTCTCTCTTGATTCGCCTTTTTATTCCCCTTTTTTCTTCTGGAGTAATGGAGGCTGCCATCTTGGAGAATGCGTCAAGAAAACGCTAGTATATAAACGTGGTCAATGGATTGTGGCAAGGAAAAGCTATATTGTTTTCTATCATGTTATTGATCTATGTAATGCTCGTGTTTTGAGATACTCAGTGTCAAAATGATGATATGAAGAAAGAAAGTATATGAAAGAATAAGAAAGTAAATAAAGGATTGGGTGTGTATTCCGTGCTCTGAATTTAGGCGATTCAAATATTAAGTGTACTACGTCAGTTGTGACGTTTTTCTCATAACATATTTTTTTCATTGTGTTGGCAAGAAGAGAATTTTCTGAAATTCCAATGAAAATCTGAAGTTGATGCCAAAATCGGGTTGGATATGATGTGAGACATTAAAATGATGTCTATGCCAAAGCAAAGACTTGATTTTCGACATGGGTTCATGAAACAAATCGTCAAGAACCAAATAGACCGGTGAGAAATAATTACAGTCACACTCACAGAGTCACAACGACACAAACAAATGTTCTGTTAAAAGATCTCATGTGAAACTCACAGATAAACTATTAAACTAGTCGCATGCGTGCAGGAATGGTGTACCTCTATTTACGCTTGATTAGAAATGCCTTGTCCGCAGGTGATTTTTGGCATCTATTTGGCCACTCTTGGTCAGTCGGAAAATATCTAGCCTATTGTGTTTCATCTTTCTAGCCAGTGGCTCAAGTAATGCTGCCTTTCATCTTTCTGGCCAGTGGCTCAAGGAATCTTGCCCTTGCTGGCATTACAGTGACTATTAGTAGGCATTTCGATTCATGCCAAACTATCTCTGGTGACTGACACAATGCACATGTGTTATTGGCATTTAAAGATGGCAGTGCCCAACGCAGTAGTGACAGAAGCAATCTTATGAATAAATTTGTTGAATTGTGGCAAGATTCCTGCCTCTACTGTAAGTGAGTGTGATAGAAGAGTTAAGATAAAACTTGTAAAAATGTATGATGATGATGATTTATCATTAATGAGTTCAATTTCTATGCTTATTTCAAAACTTAGAATATTGTTATATCATTGCAGTGACAATTACGACAAAGAAGTTAAGATGGCCAAAGAGTGTGAGAAAAGTAAGACAAAAAGAGAAAGACATGGAGGTCAATCAAACAGGAAACCTGAAATAATGACTTATGTTCCACCATCTAAACAAGGAAAAGGTATAGTCACAGTATGACAGTACAGTTTTTCTTTTGCACTGATAGAGCTCAATTAAAGCTATCTGTATCAGAATAAACATCCTGAAATTCAACAAAAGTGTACCTTGAAAGTTTAGTCTGTTGTCACTTTCAGAACATCATTATGATTCTCACACAACAATTTTACCTGTATCTTTATGTCATCTGTCATTATTGCATGTGGGGTGTGAACTCTGAAAGCTGCTTTAGCAAATATTAAGAGAACTAAGCATAAATCACTTTAATGCCTTATAACCTATTGTTCATTTTGCATATGCTTATGTGTAGCTTCACTGGACAAAGTTTAGTTACCCAAGCCATTAAACTTTTGATTTAACAGTAAGATGTGGTCTAGGAAGGTGGGAGTTTTGAAATAAGATACATTATGAGGGCAATTTGATGTTAATAATAAATGTTAAAATCAAGGTAAGAGCAAATTAATGTTTGATACTGTAATCAGGCATTATCTTTATTATGGTGATTGTATTCATTTTCACACATGACATCTCTTTGCTTTTCAGATCCTAAAAATGAGTTGTTTATTTTGGAGTTTGAGGATCAAGATGGAGAAATACATTCTGCTATGGTCTATAAGGTAAGAAGGTTTCAGGCATGTTCTATGTTGAAAAATGGGAACTTTTCTAGTAGGAAATGTGACTTGATATTGCAAATAATACATTTTTAACCATATAAGATGTCTGTTGATATCAAGTGATTATTCTTTCTTCTCACTAGGACTCTTCAGAATTCTTTTAAGTTTATGTATTGGTCTTCATTTTTAAGTGGTACTTGCAAGTGGTTGGCATCATTATCATTTTAAATTCAGTGAAAATTAAAAACAGGCTTTTCAGGGTTTTATGTTGCTCTTCGTTTTGGGTTATTTATGGGATGATTTAAATTGTATAATTTACATTATTGTCATAGAATGATAATCCTGAAGAAGTGGCCAAGAAGATTGGCTATGATAGTAATTTAACACCACCATATATCACTGCCTTATCCGAACGTATTACAGAGGAAATAAATAAAAGATTATGATGATTGTGATGAAGGTGCATAGAGCTCCTGACTGAACAGCATGGTGAAATTGTTGTGCCAGTATCTTGGTAGAGTTCAGATGCAATTAGCAACATAATGAAAGTTTTGAACAGGGCAGAACCATATTTGACAAATTTGATACATGGTTATTATGACTTGTTACATTATTAAGATAGCTTTCAGGATACAAACTAGATAAGTACAGAATCTCAGAATTATTTATGTGAAGATGTATTTTCCAGACTTATAGAAAGCTACTTTCTTTAAATGTGTGTGGAAGTAAACAAAGTGGTGCAACTGTCTATTTATGCAGATCTCTATATTATTTTTTGTCATGTCATGCTGTGACAGGCTATCATTGATAAATGAATGTCTTTCGGAGGAAAATTTTGCTGAAAAGGATGTGAGAATTATGTCCCTTTGCTCAGTTGTCATGTTTACAGGGTCAAGTTTTATTGGCTTCCATTTGTAATTTTAAATACTGTCTCAAATCGTAAAGAAAAGTGATATTTTGATTTGAAAACCAAAGCTAGTCTAATCATTTTAATCAGGAGGTTAATTCATACTTTCATTACTAGTGCCATTATAGGCAACCAAATACATTTGATGTTTGTATTTATTGTGGGCACAATGTTTCATAAATATGTCCTCCATAAATATATTTGTACCTTATTCAAAGTCTTGGTTGTTTATTCCTCCCAACCTTTAATATATATTAATTCACCTGTAAGAATTGATCTACCACAAAATTAATGTTTTTACAATCCATGGTTAATAAAATATTGTTGTGATTCAATAAACTGTCTTGTCATGAATTTCTTCAGTCAATAACAGGGAAGATTCCCAACCATATTTTTATGGAAGCATGCAACTCATACTTTCCATGTCTAAGATTCCCTGGCAAGTTGATATGCCCAGTGGCAGCTTTGATATTAAATTTGATAATTTTGCAGTGCTATTACAATTCAATTTGTGCCATCTCAACTGTTAACAAGCAATTGTGGTTGGACCAACCACCAGACATTGGTGACACCAATATACACTCCACATTCCATGTAGATATATAAAAAGTGGATTCTGTAACATGATGGAAAAACAAAAACTTGTTATTTTATATTATTTATCATCCCCTAATAGAGTAAAATAAAAAATAAATTACCCTCGACATGAATAAATTTAGTTTCATGTAAATATACTAACAGTTTCCTGTCACACATTGTAATTCATCCAATAACAATACATTTCACAAAATTAGAACAAAAAAAACACTGGTCCACTGTCACTGCAAGTCTAATAATTGAATTTGAACACATTTGATAAAAGAATATGGATGCAACAAATTCTTCCACACAAAAATGTAATGCAGAGAATGTAACAACTTTCAATATTTTACGTTTATTAACAACTCTTGTTACAGCTATAAATATCACCGATTTTAAAGAGCTCTTGAGCCGTGTAAGAAACTAAAATCCGATTACTATTTACAATTAACAAATCTCATAACGAGATCAGTTATGAGCATAAAAATGGCATGACAATATGACATCGTGATAGATTCGTGGGGGAGCTGCCCGAGAGGTTTAGAGAGAGTGCTCTTTTCCATGGAATTTCTATAAACCCAAGACAAATGTGCATGCTACTACTCCAAGCACGTGGACATATTGGCCAATATATGATGACTGGATGAAAATGGCAAGTAGATCTAATGTCAAACATAACTGGATCAACCATTTTCATCCATCAGCATGAATTACCTATATGTTCACATCCTTGGAATTTACATGCAGATTTGCAGTAGCCACAAGATCAGACTAAGGTGGACATTAAACTCATTTTGATGATTATATAATTAAAGAAATTATTCAAGACAAAGTGAGCAATTTCAGAGCACCAAATTGGTCACCAGTCTTGTCAAAATACAATTAATATAAATTTTGCAGTTAACATTACGAATTAATTTTGATACAATTTCATTTGATTAAAATTTTGTAATTATGCACAAATAATTAGCATAATAATAATGTCCACATCAACCTATCCCTGGTTCTACTGTGGCCACTCACGATACCACGAATCCATCGCAAGGTATGGTTAATATATTATATATATATATATAACAATGTACAAATAAAATAGGTAGAAAAACAAAATAATATGCAAACAACAACAAAAAGGTCTAGTATTTCAACTTTTTGGGAAGTTCCCACGAAAATCCAGGTCGACCAAAATGTCCATAACAAGCTGTTTGTTGGTAGATTGGTGATCGTAAATTCAGCTCCCTGAAAGAAATATTTAAATATTGACAAACGTTTCTAAGGAAATGGATTCTAAATCTAATGACATTGAAAGTAATCTTGTATACCACATACGTTATAATCTTACTATACTTACTGGACAATCTTGCCTGGTCGAAGATCGAAATTATTTTTGATGATTTCTAAAAGTTCCTTTTCAGATTTGTGTGAAGTTCCATAACTGAATACTGTGATAGATAAAGGTTCAGCTATACCAATGGCATATGATAACTAAAATGAAAAATAATTTGAAAATAAAGATGGAATTTTTCTTCTTAAGGTAAAAATCAAATGGATAATTCTAGTAGTATTATCTTACAGAATGACAGTACTTAAGGCAAACCAAACTTCCAACAAAATTAACACTATACAGTTCAAGTTTACAATGAAATGAAGTTCACAAATCAAGAATTACTCCCTCAATGGAAATAACACAAATTATAAATCACATCAACTTATATATCAGTGCCTATTCTCCACTATAGTACATTAACAAGGATAGGTTTTGTTAAATATTCTTTGAAATAAATTCTTATACAAACCTGAACAAGAACTCTTTTACAGAGGCCAGCTTTGACCAATGATTTAGCTACCCATCTGGATGCATAAGCTGCTGATCTGTCAACTTTGGAGAAATCTTTACCAGAAAAGGCACCACCACCATGAGCACCCCAACCACCATATGTGTCCACAATAATTTTTCTACCAGTTAAACCACTATCACCCTGAAATAAATAAATTCCAAATTAAATATCCTGTTCAACGCCAGGGAATAAGTTTTAAACAATTAAAAATTTCCTATGATCAGGTAGTGCTTTAGTTACCTTCAAGAACACTTATCATGCTGTCAAGTAGTACCGAATCAGTTTTATTTTCTTGTGAAGAAAATCTTTGTATAAATGAATTTGGTACTCAATACTTGTACACTGAGTCAATGAAAACTAATTATCATATGAGATAAACTAAACACTTACCTGTGGACCACCAATAATAAATCTACCAGAAGGTTGAATATGATAAACAGTTTTGTTATCTAGATATTTAGCAGGAATGACAGACTTGACAACCTTATCCATTAATTCACTTCGTAATTTCTCTGTAGTAATAGTTTCATCATGTTGAAGGGAGATAACAACAGTATGAACTCGAAGAGGAATCGCAGCACCTTTGACATATTTATATTCTACTGTAACCTAAAATAACCATCATATATTTCAGTCGAGATCTAAACCTAATGATAAATACAAGACACCTCATGCCACTGAGATAGTGTATTCCACATTGAATGCTGGTGATAAAATATTTGTTGATTTATTCACTTTTGTTGATTAAGGACTGAATATTCCAAAAAACTAAGTACCATGACTTTAATTACTAGACCTAATTACCTGAGTTTTAGAATCGGGTCTAGCCCATGCTAATACACCATCTCGTCTAAGTTGAGCAATTTTTGCATTAAGTTGATGTGAAAGGACAACTGTCAATGGCATACATTCTTCTGTTTCATCTGTAGCATAACCAAACATTAAACCCTGAAAAACCAAGCAAAATAGGCATACACATTAAAAGAAATTTTAAACAATAAATAACCTAAACACAGTTCACTGTGTAGGCAATGTACTTTAATACAGGAGAAACAAACAAAATCTCAATTGGACATACATTTTCCATTATGAAGAGAGATCTCATTAAAGAAGTTAAAGCAGGTGAGGTGTCAAGACCTCTCTAAATACTAACTTGACTGAAACAACAAATGCTAATCAACCTGAATTAAATACTTACACACTTCCAATTTGAATCAATAAGCTAGACATTGGACTTACCTGATCACCAGCTCCAATATCTTCTTCATTTCTATCAACATGTACACCAGACGCAATATCAGCACTTTGTTCTTCTAGAGCTATTAATACATTGCAGGTCTTGTAATCAAATCCTGAAAACAGAAAATGCCAGTGTCACATGGAATTCAACAACACAGTTAATTAAGTACTGAATTGGCTTTGTATCCCTTATTTCTTTTGTAACCTTGTAGTTATATCCAGTCACAAAACTGTATCCTACTTTAAATCAGATTGATACAAGAAATACTCTTCTCATTTAGCGAAGATTCATCATGTGTAACAGCTAACCTTTTATCAATAACCCTAAAGGAATAGTTAAATAACTGACCAGGCATAAAGTTGCTTTGATAATTGCCCATGATAGGACCTTGATTTTATCTTATCTTATAAGGGAACACAATAACTTCATTGAAATGAAGTTGTCATATCACATAGTTATCTGTACTTGTTTAATTAGGAAAAATGAACAGTTAGGTCAAGTCTGGTATTAGTCTAATTAACCTGCATTTAATAATATATAAATTTTTTGATAAACTAAAGTAAATACATACCTTTAGCAGAGTCATCATATCCAATCTGTTTAATAGTATTTCTAATAACTTTCTGGTAATCTACAATGGCTCTGGAAGTAATTTCTCCACAAACTAATATCATACCAGTCTTAGCTACTGTCTCGCAGGCAACCTTAGCATTTGGATCTTGTTTTAAATGTGCATCAAGAATGGCATCACTGACTTGATCACAGATCTTATCTGAAAATGTTAAGACATATGTGAAATTGCATACAAAACTCTACAGAAATATTGGGCTTTGTAAACTAATTTTGTACTCCCAATTCAGATTCTGGGTGAAAGATCATCTTTACCCATTAATTGGGATATAGAGCATAACTTACAAGTCCAGTTGGCCTACAGTTCAACAACAATGTTAACAAAATTGCATTTTGACAATCATTCTTGTTTTTCAGGTAGAAATATCAACTACACAATAGGCTAATAATGAGAATTTAAGATAAACGCTGACTAAATCAAAATGACATCAATGGAAATAGGACATAAAATTCAAATCTGATAGCAATGTGGTTCGAGAGTAGTCTACTTTATATCACTGATTCACTGTACCAAAGCCTATATCGATTTATTTTTGATTTTTGAAAGTTTTGTCAGCCATAAAATGACAGAATCTAGTGCTTCACTAATCTTTGACAAAACAATTGCAGGAGTCCTTGATAGAACTGTCGAACTCCAGTATTACTGGGCATTAACTTCACTGTGACTATAACCACGGTAACAAGAAGTTTTATCTGCAGACAGTGCAAGTGTCAAAACATTTGTCTCCTTGATAGATTTTATTGAAAACTAATCTTAAAGAAATCAAGACAAATTTAGCCATGTTAAGCATGACAACACCATATTTTCATTGACAATTCTTTCAATCATCCTGAACATATTAAATCGGACATCTAAGGCCACATGCTTTCATACGTTAGGCAAGCAACAACAATAACAATGTATTCCCGCCATGTTGACAACTGGTGATGATATGCAGGCAGAATTGCAAGCAAAATTGCATAAAAATCACTGAACAAACCTGGGTGGCCTTCTCCAACAGATTCAGAAGTAAACAAGAATGTGCCAATATCATCCTGGCTACATTCTTCGGCATAATGCTGGTGAATTTCCGTGTAATGATCTCCATTACCGCCGTTCATAATTTTAGACATCTTGAAATGTTCGCTTACTAATCTAAGTGGAAAAGAGGCCGATTGTAAAGAGATTCTTCTATTTATCAGAATATAAAAGTCACGTGATATTACTTCATTGGTTGATAAAAGTGTCATGGTTGACATTGGACTGATCCGGTTTACGACATTAGGCTAGTACTTCATTCAGGGAGATCGGTGAAACGGAGTTCAATTGCGTACAGGATATTTATTTACAAACTTTAATTTTTAAATCCTGTCATCTCATATCCTTGGGATCTTCCCCGAAACCTAAGACAACATCATTCTCTTGTCGTGACAATGTTGACTATTATTTGAATGGAAGATTTCATTTTAACGTAATGTAAACAAACTAAACTGAAAGTAGTGTCTGACATATCAAGAACTTGCATGTCAATTCATTTTTTCCGTCTATGTATTTCCCATGAGTTATCAAGATTTCATTAAGAACATAAGTTATATGGATTACTAGTACTTCAAGGTTTATTAAATGCTACGTTTCGAAACACATTCGATAGTAACGTTTTCAAGTACCGTATTTAAAGTTAACAACGGTAGGTAGGTAGATGACAAGTTAACTTTTGCTTCCAGCGGATGCTGATATCGCAAACTAAAAATTACCAACAACAAAACAGGATATATAGGTAAATCATTTAGGGCAAGGGATATAACGATAACAATCATGATTAAAGATGTGCATATAATAACAACAGAGGGTAGATAAAAGAAAAATACTTGAAGCCAATACTGTAAGCACTATAGATAATAAAGAACACTATGATAAATATGACAAAAAAAGCAGATGATAGATAATAGTACTAAAGGATAGGATGAAGTGGGGAGAATTACATAATTTATTTTTTAAATAATTGGGACCACATATTTGGTAGAAAATGTCCACTGTCTCTGTTTAATTTGGGTCGGTGTTTCTGTAGTTCTAAGGGGTTCTTCGAACTCTGGGCTTCCATTCTGGGAGGTTGTTTGCTAGTATTTCTTTTTCGTCCCATTTAATGTTATGATCTGGTTTCTGGGTAGGTGTTCAGCAATCGTAGATTTGTTCTCATCCTCCTTTGTGACTATGGTTCTGTGTTCTTTGATTCAGACTGAGATGGGTCGAGATGTTTCTCCTATGTAAAAATCATTACAGTCGCAATTAATTTTATAAACCACACCTTGAAAATTACAGTTGCTCTTCTATTCTGTCAATTTCAATGTTGACTTGCATGTTTGAAAATACATGTTGTATTAAAGTGAAATGATAATATAACATAATATAAAATGCACAGGTCTAGGTAAAAAGCAAGATCTATTCATGTAGCACTAAATGTAGGGATTCATTTCATTAGAGAAAGTGTGACATTAAAAGGAATATTGCTTAATTGCCTTGTATCTTCTATCTACAATGATATATATTATTTTATATGACAGAAGTAGTTTAGTTACTTGTCTATAGTATGGTGTGACAGAGACACGGTTGTTCCCCTCTCATTTTAATTATCTAGGATCTATGTATTATCATCTAGATAAGATATTGTTTAATACATAGATAATTCTATTACATGATGTTTGTGAGTGTTAAAGGAACACAGTTCTTTAAATTTTTCACTCATGTAATGTCAAAAATTCTGCAATGATGAATTGCAAAAGTTGAAGTCTGCTTAGACAACACCTAAAAGATTAACATAGAATTACAAAACTAATTGGATTTAATGTTAATTATTTAGAAAAAAAGATTGTTATATTAATTACTTAAACAATGAAATTCACTCCTGGATTGGTCAGAGGAAGTCAAAGAATAATCTTTATAAATAGACTAACTTAAAATCAAGTAGATAATCTGTAATTATAATTAGAGCTTACCTAATTATAAGTAATTATATCATCATATGGTTTACACTAAATTGTCTCATAGCAACTAAAAGTATTTGGGGATTTTTTTTTTTGGGGGGGGGGGGGGGGGGGGGGGGGGGGGGGGTTT